AAAATATGTATAAAGTTATTTTTATTTTTCTCAATATAAAGCTCTTTTTAAAGCTTGGTATGGCTCGGGGGAGACTAGTCTAAAGTAGTCGTAATATGTAAATAAATGTGTAGCACCGACAATTTTAACAGCTTAGATCCTTTGCGATTTCACCTTGGATTTAAATTCCAAGCAAGCAAGCAAAGAAAAAGATTTTGAGACGTACTATGTATTTAAGTCAAGATTGTGAACTAAGATTATCACCTTAAATGGGAATTGAATTTACAATGCTATCTGCATTTGCAATTTATCTTGCCAGAGAATTATTCTTGTTATTGTTTTGTTTTTAGTATTAAGAATGCAGTTCATTCTGTGATGAAGTATGAGTATATTTGTAAAGTGACAAATGATAAACATGCAAAATATCATTGAATCACTACTGCTATAAATCCCTCCTATGTTTCAGCTTATTGTATTAAATAACTGAGATTCACTTGCTAGCTTGTGCTGGCTTAACTCTTAAAGAACGTCCTTAAAATTATGTTCACTGTATACGGAAATAAAAAGACAAATATCAAAGTGCACCATTGATCAATAAAATCTAGGTTTGTTATGTTATATCTCACTTTTTATGCTTTTCCTGCAAAAAGAAGGAAGTATGAGATAATTTAACAGAAAGTTTCTGCACATGAGATGAAAGGGATATAAACTCCCTGATAAATGTTGTAGTTATTATATTAGCTATATTAGGAATTTAGAAAAAAATAATAATGTATGATTCTGTAATGTTTGTAGCAAGTTATTTGTTCTGTGCCTTTGAATGTTATGTTTCAACTTTGTTATGAAAGTGATATATGTTCTCTTTTCTAATACCTGTTTGTCAACACGTCTTAGTAGTGAATGGGTGGGTTATCATTGTGATAGAAGTTTTATATTTTATATTCCCGTAGTATAACCCTACTTATCGTCACATCAAATGTTACATTTAGAATTTTTGTAAGAACACCCCCTGTGCTCAACAATTTTTTATGACCCCTTTGTATATCATCACAAGTCTGTACAATTCAGTAGTAGTGTAGGCTGTCATCTGAGCCAGGGTGCTTAATCCTCATGATGTGTACATACTTTTTATCAATCTTGTGGTAAAATTATATGTACTGGTGTATTCAAACAGCATTCCTTGACGGAAGGGACCAATCCGTCTTGAAATTCTTTGAAATGGCAACCAATAAGCAATATCAACTGCAAGTTGTAAATTTTAATTGGTCAATTTTAGATCTCTAATCTCTTGTTCAGACTATCAAATAATTTACATTCCTTTGTGAAAACATTTTGTAGTTGCAAGTTTTCCAAGAACATTTACTTGTGAACTATTATATGGTGTTAATAGATGATAACGTTTTTGCTATTTCTTACAGTTTGCAGGGGCACTTCATAGACATGTTGTCAATAGATTTATCAAGAATGTTTTCAGTTGTTCTCTTTTGTCCAAGCTTGTTATAAAATGTCTAAAATATAATGGAAAAAAACTATTCCCATTAGTTATTAAATTGGTCAATCGATGTTGCACAAATACTTAGGGTTTGTTAATTGTAATTCAATTCTGTTTGTTCATGCAAAAATATTATTCAGAGTTATGAGGGTGATTTGTTTATGTTAAAACCAAAGGAAACAATTATAAATCAAATAATAAATGTACTATGAGACAATCTGGGTGAATCAAGATTTTTTTTGCGTCCGTCCCCTTCCTCTGTGTGCATGCGTTGTTACGCTCAAGCAAGGGCGTTAAAGGTGTCAATAAGCCGCACGTAACTGTGTACTTGCACCCCATTCGTTTTCAATGAGCGCATGGTAGGTACTACTTGTTTATTCCGGGACAGCGCGAACGCAGTCCCGACTATCAAAAATTATACGCCCGAGGTATCCACATTTGGGATACTCGCAGAGGTCAGCCCGACCGAAGTGCAATGGAAAGGCCTCGCCCTGGGAGAACCGCCTTCATGATCACGGTTAACTCCTGCGCCAGGTAAGTATGATTAAAACAGGGAGCTTGTGTACGACCGACCAAATTGGAGACAGGGGCACCTACCGCTTAAACTGCATCCGCATAACGCCACGGTACGATTTGCTCTCTTCGTTCCTCTCTAACACGAACCACTAGAGCGAGAGAGATGGAGAAGGCTGTCTGGCACTGTTTCTGATCACAGCTCGCGCTCTCTCCACGCGCCAGGCGACATCTATCGGTGCGGCAGAAAACTATGTCGCGTTACTCCTTGCAGTCTTGCAGTTTTTCATCCTGCTCTTGCCTCCAGTAGCCTCTCTGTTAGGCCAACATGATTGTGTTCAGTAACTTAAACTTAGCTTCGCCGGTTGGGAAATTTCAAAATATCTATTTGAATTGCGTGTTAAGGAGTACGGATTAGATCTCGTTAATCCCTGTTTTGTTTTTAAATATTATAAATTTTAGATCCTTGTTTCCGAGTCCGTCCTAGTTGTGAATACTTCCTTCGTAAATAAATGACATTGACTAGCGTTGTGCATTTACCACAACAACAAGTCGTTCTGCCATTTTGGATACTCGGAGAACATTTTTATGGTTATCGATATTTATTCGTCTGAAATTGAGTTAAAAACGCAGAAATAAAACAAATGTTTAAATGGACGCATCGTCCATTATCACGCAGGTGTCACGCGATGACGAGCAACTAAATAACTTTCCTGAAAAAGGTGAGCATTGCGTCTCCTAGGTGCACCTGTTACCTCTAGAAATCACAGCAGGCTTATAGCTTTGCTCTAAATATGTCCATCTTGGCAAATGCTTCCGAATAAATTCTATTTCCCACATTCTTTAAACCCTATGATTCTTTTGATGCAATTGTCGCACCCATACCGCCCCTGAAAGTAAACAATGAGCTCGCAATGTTTGCAGCTGCCCAACCCTTATCTGCGCTCCGCCAAGCCCTTGCCCGTGTAGATGATTTGATATGGACTAAAGCTTTGACCTTGTTATCCTATATTTTACGCATCCTCGGGTGGGCCGTTTGAAAATTCCTGCAAATCAATTTTCTCTTAACCCGCTGAGTTTTCTTTTTTCTTTACAAAAGCGAGTTCTTGTCATAAATGTTTAAAATACCCTGCTAGGTCCTTATGTATATTATCACATAACTCCTTACCTGTTATTTTGTATAGCTACTTCATAATTCCTCGGTACTCTTCGCTAAATGTACAGTCTTGCTATCTATATCTTTCAGACCTATTTCATATTTTTTCACCCCTCTTAAAAAAAGTCCCATCTATTTTGGCTGTCCATTAATGGTTATTATATTTTCCTCATGATGCTTAATCTTGTGTTTTTCTATGTAGCATGACTTTCCTACTTACTACTTACTTTCATATTCACATCCCTCAGAGCATAAAATGCAGCTTAGAGGAAAAGTTAGTTTTTATTAATAATGATAATCAATACATATTAATTAAACTCGCCATACATTATTTGGTCACGATGATGTAAGAATAAAATAAATCTTTGTTGTTTTTGGAAAATCAACGTAGCATCCTTTTCATGATACCTTTTCTGAACTGTCGCAAGTAGAAAACCCATAATGTATAAATTTTTAGGTTATCTTTCTGTTATGTTTCTCTACAAGTTAACTTGTTTTAAATTTTTTTTGAATTTTGTAAACCTAAGATTTTTGAAACTTGTGCTGAATTTATCATATACAGATGACTGAAATAGTGTTTTTGTTTTCAATATTTTTTTTTCAAGGAGTAGTTCAATGTCCAACACTAGTTTTCAAGTATACATTTTGTGTATTTGTTTACTTTGTTTAACAAAGTAGAATGTGATTTCACTCCAACAACCCTTTATATAAATTTTCTTGGCAAAGGGTAGTTAGCGAAGGTAGTAAACCTTATTACCTGTTGTAAGTGTGGTTGGCATTACCATCACAACTTTATAATATGAATAATGCTGCTACATTACATGTGGAAAAGATTTTACAAAACCATATAATTACTAACTAACTGTTGTTGCATCTTATAGATTGTTTTCTTAAGCAAACTTAAAATATAAATTGATACTTTTAAAATGAAGTTGCAAGGTAATGGAAATGTCTAAATATAGCATTGGACTGAAAAGGGAGGGTAGGGAGGGAGGGAGTAGGGATGGGACTTGGTCCTTGACATTTACTGTGAGGCTTGTGCTTAGGAATTTACCCCTATACTTCAAAATGCATATATTATCGATAATAATTTTATCTTGTTTTCTTCTCTTCTTGATCCAGTTGTACCTCCAAGAGAGTATGACTTGCCTCCAGCAGGTAATACTTATTTTAAGTTGTGAATGACTGCATTTTGTCTTGTTTATTTTCATTAATTATTTTTGTATTTGGAAACAATAGGCCAACTGGGCAAAAAGCCTCGAAGAAGCATCTTACGGTCACTGTTATGCTGCTTTGGGGGCCAGGCCAGTTCCAAGGGATCAAGTACAAAAGCTTCTGTGGACAGCGATGGACGCTATTCTCCACAACTCAGTCCAGGACAGCCTCGCTATCTCCTGCCCCAAGTGCGAGCATCGGAAATGCATAAGAAATGCATGGTGATTGACCTAGATGAAACTCTGGTTCACAGTTCGTTTAAGGTTTGTGAAAAGACTAAACACTGATAGCTTAAGATATGTCACTATGGAGAGCTAACCCCTCATCATTTTACAGCCAATAAACAACGCGGACTTTGTGGTTCCCGTTGAAATTGATGGCACTGTTCATCAAGTGTATGTGTTGAAGAGACCACATGTAGATGAGTTCCTTCAGCGCATGGGTGAACTGTATGAATGTGTCTTATTTACTGCTAGCCTTGCAAAGGTAAAATCAAATCACACTTCTTTTCATTTATTTGGTCCTGTTATGATTATACCAACTTATAAATGTATGACTAAACCCGTGATTTTATTCTATCTTTTTTTCAGTATGCTGACCCTGTGGCAGACCTTTTGGACCGGTGGGGAGTATTTAGAGTTCGACTGTTCCGTGAATCATGTGTTTTCCACAGAGGAAATTATGTTAAAGATTTGAATAAACTTGGAAGAGATTTACAGAAAGTCATAATTGTGGACAACTCTCCGGCCTCTTACATCTTTCACCCTGACAATGCTGTAAGCCTCAATGTTGCAATGCATCTATAATTTTCAAAATATTGTATTAATTCCAAGGCACTAATCATTTGTGTATTTTTTTCAGGTTCCTGTTGCATCATGGTTTGATGACATGCAAGATTCTGAGCTGATGGATTTAATTCCATTTTTTGAAAAACTAAGCAGTGTTGACTCTGTTTACTCTGTCCTATGCAACTCAAACCATCCTTATAACAGTACTAACAGCCCCAGTAGCCAACTACAACATCTCCAGCATGAAGAAGAAGATGATAGGCGGCAACAGCAGCAGCAACCATATCAACATCATCCTATTCATCAAATGGATCAGCAACAGCATATCCAGATAGGAAACCATTCTGTTTCATAACATTGACTTTCCCGCCTGGAGCGGTGGAGGTCAGACTTAGTTGAGGGGCACAAGACTGGACTGGGTTGGCGGGGCTTGTGCCGGCTTAGTGCCTATGGTGCTAGTTGTGCTCATTGCCGCTTGAATTTTGGGTTATGTCTTATTTGGGCAGTGTTAACTCAGCTTCTTTGCTGAAATAGCTCATCCGTTATCCCTTTTTCCTTTTTTTATCTTCTTGTTTACTGTATATGTTTTCTTTTAATGTCCTGTATTTCTTTTCTTTCTTTTTTTTTTGCACTGCTATAAATATAAGATATAATACATTTATATCTACTTGTGTATGTATATATATATATATATCTGAATATATAGAACTTTACATGTGTATATATATATACATTTACATATATTTATCTGTGCATACACAACTGCGTAACATCCTTGTGATATAATCTAATTTTGTCTGACTTAACAGTTTTTGGATGTTCACTGCACATAACCCTATGTGATATTAGCGTATTAAGTGAGCCTGGTCTGGTATTGTGCCGCTTGCCATCTTGGCTCTTTAAACGCTTTTTTTTTTTGTCATCCTTAATGTCCTAGAATTCATCCATCGTTTTGTGGAACTTAACTTATGCCTGTTTTGTGTTACCTCCCCAATTCTTTCAAACAACATTGAAGGTTATCATCATGCAATTAGAAATGGAGGCACAAGTTATGGAATGGATGATAAGTAGGCGCGTTAAATCAGAGATGTGTTTCCCAGTGGCAGCTAGGTCTGCATTATTTTATTAAACTGACAAGGCAGATTTCAGCCGCTACTACTAAGTCATCATTGTAGTCTTCAGTCCAAGTGCCAATATTATCTAACTGGGTGTCATGAGCCATGGGCTGATCCCCACTTCTGTGAAAGGGTTGTTTTTGTATGCTTCTCTTTACTATCAGATATATTTTTTTAACAATATCAGGAGTTTGCATCTGATAATATGCATATTCCTCTGATATAAACAAACTCTCATGTTACAAGCATCTATAGGATTGATTTCTACTGACCACATTATCAGTGCTAACTTACCATAGTACCCACTACCAAAGGACCATTACTTCTATTTTTTTGGAGCAATTGTGAAGATTGCAACTTTTCATCTATGGCATTTAATGTTTTTCCCCGGGAAGTGCCATAATGAAGAAGTCAGTATCTGTCAGTTTCTTTGGTCAATTAATGATTGTCATTGCCTAACTTAAACTTGTCAATGGGTATGTTTTCATGTTGTTTTTTTGTAATTCTATTTGTTTTGACATTCTACTTTAAAAAAAATAATTTCATATCTGTTTTGTCAGTTTTTACACAATTTGATTAAGGAGTGAGTTGGTGTCATCAACCAAACACTTGTCGTTATTTTTGTCTTCTGATCTGTCTCTTATTACATATTCTTTGTTGCAACCCATTTTTCTAGTTTATTTAATTGAATCAAGCTACGAATTCCCCTCTAAATTCCTGAAGTCTAATTTTCAATATATTGGGGCTGCTATAGCTTTAACGCAGTTCATTATAGAGTAACGTACTATACATTTTACTTTTACCTCTTTTTTTCTTCTCTCAGTTGTGAGAGTGATGTTTGTATAGTTGTTTAATCATAACATTTTGAGAAGTTTTCTTGATTGCAAGGCTTTTGTGTTCCCCTAGCATTCCCCAACTATGCAGTAACATAGGTAAATAGTTGATCAAAAATTTTAAATCCATCAATTTTAAACATCAGCCTAATTTATCATGGTTTTAGTTATGGTGGTGGTGAGTTGGCATTTCGTGAGCTTTCAACTTTGAAGTGCCTTTTATTGTAAAAACTGATGTGATGCACTGATGGAAAGAGCCTATTCCCTAGTATGTTTACTAATTTGACTTAGTCGTTGTTGTTTTTCTTTTGTTAGTTTTTTTTTCTTCTTTCATGTGGTCCATAATTGTTAGTACAGGTAATTCTAATTTGCACAAGTTGCAGTTTGATGTAAGTGCAATGATACTGTTACTTAAGTCCTCTTCCTTTCACCATTTGATGAGGAGTGGGAATTTGGCATTTTATATTCATCTAGCAACTTATTGTATCCAACAACAACTTACTGAAGCAAACGTAGCATCTTGAACATCTCTTATTTTCTTTCAATGGATGTATTATCTATGTCAATGTTTCTTTAAACAAAACAAAAACTATATTCTATACAAGCCATATGGATCTGATTAATGTGTATTATGCTGCCAGTCCAGAAATAAGTTTCTTTTGAAGTATCCTTGTCAAGTTGAAAAAAAGCAATACATTATTATGAATTAAAGCCCTTGAGAAGTAAGATAAATTTATTTGTCTTACTTTTTAAAGTGTTGTGGAGGCGCAACTTGTCAAAGGAAAACAGTCAGTATACTTTTGCTGATTCAACTTTAGGCTGTTTCTACTGGAAGTGATGCGATTGGGGAATGTTGTCATTTACTTAACAATGCTACCTTTACTGAATTTATCAAAGCTGCTTGTTGCCAATTTGAGCCTTGAAGAACTGCTTATTACTAAAGTATCTAAAGTATGCAATGTAATTTTACCTACCACAACTTTTAACTTCAAAGTACATATTACACAATTGACCTTAAACCGTCTGTTACTGTTGGTTGTGTCCAAAAAAACTTCACTGTGAAGGGTCAGATCTTTGTATTAGATGCTTAATGTTTTCTATAAAATTTATTGTACTTACAAACATTACTTTGGGTACTTAATCTACTCATATTTTGTCAAATCGAAGTGTCTATTTCAGTTCTATTTATGTTTATCCCTTCAAACTTGCTGAAAAATATAATGTCTGTTATCTTTGGTCACCAGACAGAACACCTTTTTATTTGGGCTCTTAACATATCATAAACTTCTTTATGTTGCCTCGCCAGTTGTTAAGCATTAAATTCTGATGTTGTTATTATTAGCTTCTATTTTTGGTACTACTTTTCTACATTTTCTATGTTTGACAGTATTTTCAAGTGTATTATCTTGATTTGCATCTTTGTACTGGTGCGGTGTCTTAATGTAAGTCTGATGGTAGCATCCAGGTAGATGGTGGGTCGTTAATTTCTTTGGAAGTTCACATCCCTGTAGGAATTGGCACCTTTGCTCATCTTGTACACCTTGAGAAAATTAGCGATTGACATCCTATGGGAACTGACTGCAATAATGAGGACATTCCTCATGTTAGTTGTTTTCATCTAACCTAGTCTAAGTTTCAATTTTTGACATAATTAATGTTTCTTATACTGTTCAATTTCTCTTTAGATGCCATGGAAAATGGCTGCCGATAAGTGTAAAAATAATCTAGAAAGTTTATTGGTGTATTAATGAAATATCACCTTGGTAATTTTATGTACTGTCACTTCTTTTCTGAAACAAATCTTACAGTAATTTTTTCTCAAGCCCTGGTTTGAATTTTTTTTTTGTCAGAATCATGGATCAATCAGTTTGTAAGTGCTGAACTGAGTGAAATTGTGTTTATCTGGAAAATAACCAATTTTCTGTGACTTGCTCGGACTTGTTTCATTGAAGATTGCCCTCTCCAACGTACTGGGCTGCAACCCAATCTTATTTGTTACCCCTGTATAATTCATCAAAATTCATTTTGTTGGTAATTTTAAACAAACCTAATTGATATTACTGTACACCTCTTTGTATTTTCTATCTGTTCTCCCTCCTCATTTGTAGGTGCTGTTCCACATTGTAATGATAGCTGGAGCTTCTAATATATGTTACATTTTGTTGCTATTGTTACCACTTCAGAGCTACAGTATCACAATGTTTGGAAAAAGTATTCTTTAATTTGTAAGAAAATTATGCAATGGATGGCCCTTGTTTGGATCTGTCATACATAACACTTGACTTATTCAAAAAAATGTTACGATTAAAAATTAATTTAAAACTTAACAGATGCTTATATTGTTTTAAGTTAGCAAAGTATGTTTTACAAATTTGTCAATTACATTAAAAAAAAAACAAGGCACGCGTCTGTTTTTTTTTAACAAAAGTTGTTTGGAATTTTGTATAGTTTGTACATGTTTCTGTTTTCTGTGTTAAAACAGGATTTAGTGCTTTTTCCCCGTTTTATGCGAGTGGCCAATTGTCAAATAGCTAACTGATTGCTTTTCGCTTTTCAAACACGCTTTATCTTGCATTCTTAATACTTTATATTTTGTTATTAGTTGATTTAGAGAGAATTGATAAGTTTATCTGTGACATTTTAGACCATAATTTGAAATTAATTTGTTGGAAGTAAAATTATTGGAAAGTAATACTTAATGTGCAGCTGATTTCAGTGGCAACGAATTCAGCAAACCAGCTTGGCAGGTTTGTTTTCTTCTTTGAGTTTTAGCCGATTTAAAATGAAGAGATTGCACAGAGCACATAATTTAGTTGAGCTTTGCACACCAGTCAATATTTTTCTTTTTGTTTTAATTATGTAGAGTTGAGCTTTGCAAAAGGGTGGTATGGGCATCATGCATTTTGCATTCACATGCATTTTTTTTGTGTGTGTGTTACTACCAATCACACCTTGAAATTGTTTCTGCATTATGTAATGCTTAGTGGTTGACTTTGTTCAAGCACCTAGTCGAAGATAGCATATTTTATCTAAGAAAGGCTCCCCATCGTATTGGTTGACAGTTTTTAAAAATGTTTTTCAGCAGTTTTGCACTGCAGTGAGTTCGTCTTTTTGTGTTTTTTTTCTGTCATGTTTCAAGATCCTGAATATGTTGCTGCATGCATAAGTTTTGATCAAATACTTACATGTCTCATTATATTAATGCTACTGCAATTTTTACAATTCAATTGTCAGATGCGTGTATGCAGAATTTTAGCAGGATAGCCCAATCCAGTCCACCCAAAGACTAGCCATTGTAGATTGGTTTGTATTTTAATTGGTTAATTCATTTTTATTTTATTCATAATAGAGTGTACATACTATTATTGTTACAAATTAAAATAAATAATACTCTCCATACAAGTACTAACCTTGACTGGGCAACCATGGGGAAGGTGCAGGGGTTGATAGTAGGTGCTTCCAATTGAGCTCTGTATGGAGATATATTGCTCAATGGTTTCATAATTCAAAGATCTTTTGTATTTTACATACATTAAACTAGCCATAAGATAAATTTATTATAACACATATTTTGGATTACATAACTGGAATTTGAGCCATTGCAGATGTGTGTGAGAGAGAGTGAGATTGAGGTGTAGAAAATTAATAATTGTCATGATTAATATTCACAGATGTATAAACATAAATGTGGTCCTGATGTACAGTCATTGTGTTGTACATATTCTGTTTCATATATGAGCAACTGAAACAATCATAAAGCCTTTGGTTTTGTAAATATACAGCCTTTCCATTGAAAAGTGTATTTCGTTTCATCTCCTCCAGTCCTTGGGCGAATACGCTTTGCCGTCCGTAGCTGCGGCAGGAGGCTGTAGCCCCGAGAGCTGGGTATAGTGTAACCCTAGCCCGACGGCCGCCCCGGCCACCTCTCGACTGACGAGACAGGCCGGTAACGTGGGACGCCTTTTGAGTGCTCCTAAATTTATGTCTTCCCTCCTCAGTGTGATTCGAGCCCTTTGTGTGCGGCCCGGGCTGCGCGGGCTGAGCTGGCTTTGGCCGCACCCGCTGGCGCCGACCTCAACAGTCGAGTCGCCTCTCACCGCAGCCGCGCATGCATGTGCTGGTCGAGGCTCAGCGTGGATGCGCTCTGCCCCCGGCACACGGCACGCACTTGTTACGCCACCCGACTGCCGCCTCGCGCCGCCCCCGGGGGCGGTGGCCCCGCCCGCGCTGCGCCGGGGGGTGGCGCTGGACCAGGCTGGACGCTGGCCGCCTTGCGTAACGCCCGTATCACCAACAACCCCCGAGCCGGGCCTCTAGCCGGACCGTATCGGCTGTCAGCGTGCACGTGGCGGCCCGGGGCGCGGCCGCGGGGACCAGCCCGGCACCTGCACGGGGGCTGCCGTGGTGTCGGCCACGAGGACCCGCCCCGCGCCCCGCGCCCCGCGCCCCGCGCCCCGCGCCCCGCGCCCCGCCAGGGCACATCTGTCAAGAGCGCGCCCCGCGCCACCCTCCCCTCGCGGACGCGGGACGTGTCCGATCGCGCTAACGCGTGACAGTGCGCCAGCGTGTTGGACGGCTCGCGCACACGGGGCGGGGGGACGAGGAGAACCCGAGTCGGGTCGGGGAAAGGGGGTAGGGGGGGCTCCTGAGGAGGAGGACCGTGGTAAGAAATTGGGTATCTCCTGTCTTCTTGTTCGCCTGTCAACACAAACGCGTCGCGCCCCCGAGCCCCGCTGGGCTGGGGCCCCACTACCGCCCCCCGAGGGAGCCTGGCCCCGCCCC